GCATCTGAGGCGGAGGGCAATGTCTGCTGAGACATTGTAGGGGGACTGCGTGGAGATTCTAAATATCCGAAGGAGCAGTGTGGCAGCTCCCCAAATTTGAGAGAGAGGAGCAAAGGATAAGACCGGAGAAGTAAATTGAGACAGGAGTTTGTGGTGGTCCAGCTTAAACACTCTGACCTTCCTCACAGGGGTCTAGAGAAGCCATCTTTAAGGAAGAAATCTTGAAATAATGGCCCGTCAGGAAAAGGCCTGCTTCTCACCCTAACACCCTGTGGTCATCTAAAAGCTGTTGAAATGGGCATCAAGGATGCCTTTGGTTTTAAGGAACACACGCCCCTTGGCTAAGTCGCATGCAGGCAAGCAGGGAGACCATAGTCAGCTTCATTTCCCTCTCACACGAAGGAAAAAAAGAGCTAAGCAGAGAGGGGAGGAGCTCAGGACCGTGGGAAGTTGAGCAGCCTTAGATGTGGAAGGCGTGAGTGGGAGGGAGGCCATGCCTTCTGACTGACCCCCCAGGCCTGGGAAAAGTGCAGACAGGGGCCCTTTTCTCCCCCAGCTGAGTGGAGCAGGGGAACCAGGACCAGCTAGCTCCACACCCCATGGCCTTCTGGCTTCTTCACCCCAGTGTTTGTCTTGGCTGAGAGCCTTCGGGGCTTTTTGAAGCCCATTTCATCAAGACAAAGCTGGAGAATAGACATGGGATCACAGAGGAGGGAGCAGGAAGGGGCCTCAGATGGGGAAGTAGAGGTGACGGCAGGGGGAGTAGGCAGCAGACGAGGACAAGAAGCCAGGCTCCTTGCATGGTGCTCAAGGAGGCATCACAGAACCTCCCAAATGGGTGAGGGGTCTGACTTGGCTCAAATCCATGGAGCACCTCGATGCCCACCTTCTCCAGGAGGGTATCTGAGGGCTCAGTGTTGCTGGGATTGTGCTACACCCCAGGTTGTCTCCTGTTCTTGCTTCAGGACACATGCTGGCATTTAAGCCTCCAAGACTCTGCCCCACCAGCAGGTCCCTGGCCAGGGCAGGGGTCTAGAGGAGGCTCATGGGCCCGGGGCATTGGACAGACCCCACCATGGCCAACACTGTCCCTCCTGGATCTCGATTCAGCGCTGCCTCTGCCAAGGTCCAGCACGGACCCTCCCATGTCCTGTGCTGCACAGATGCTGACGAGTCACGTGTCCCACAGCTGAAGGCCTCCCCGTTCCCCCTTCCACCATCTGCTGAGGCCCCATAATTATTCCAAGGCCCGGTGCAGTCTTACTCGGAGGGGAGAGTTCACACAGTCCTGTAATGTAACCCAGGCCCTTGGCGGCTCTGGCAGGGGGTCTCCAGCTGGGTAATGAGCCGCCAGCTTTATTGAATTCCCTGGCTTGTGTCTGACTAATCACGGCCTTTAGCAGAGGCAGCCCAGGCCTTCTGAGAACTCATCTGAGATCCCTCGCTGAGGACTTCCATCTCCCACTATCCCAATCCCTGCTCCTCTAGTCCTTCCTCCTCCCCACACATGTTTAAATGACCAGGATCAGGGCAGGGAGGCTCCCAGGGGGTTGGTCTCCCCGTGAATTTGGAGAGAGCACAGCTACCTCAGGTAGGGGGCCCACAAAGGGTGGACCAGAATGGGTGGAAGCCCTGACTCTGCTGGGCTGTCTCAGGAGGGAACACCACCTGCAGCTCTCACCCCTCCCCATCTCCTAAACCTGCAGACTGCGCGCTCACCTCCCCTTTCCAGAGGCCTGGGCCCCGAGGAAGGTCTTCCCTTGCCGGCCAACCAGTGGAGACGGTGCCTTTCTAGGCCTTTCCAAGGAGAAGTATAGAAAGCCACCTTTGTTTTGTGAACTTTTGTTCAGGCTTCAAGACCCAGCCTAAGTCACAAACACTCTCCCACAGCACCCGGGTCTCTCCCTCCTCCCTGCTCCCCAGTCCTTGTAAGGACCCCCAAACAGTGTCAACTCTTCTTATCATACTTTTTTCGTTTCCTGGTGGAGACCGTGCCCTCACTGTGGACAAGGACTGCCATCTACCCCTATACCTTAGCACATGGTAGGTGCTTTACCAAAACAAGGAGGGAAAGAGGGAGATGCTCTGCGAAGTGAGAAGCCGGGTCTCTGTGGGTCTCTGCGTGTCCCCACCACATGTGCGGCTGAAGTTTCCAGAGAGGAGAGGGCTGACCAGTTTGGGAACCGGCATCAGCTATGTTGTCCTGTCAAGGTCCTGGTGCTAAGGGCGAAGGTGAGGTCAAGGGTCACCCAGAGTTCAGAGTCCAGGGTGACTTCTTGTAGCTGCTTCCCAGTAGGTCTTGAACCCTCCCCCCGGCCCCCCACGCCATGGTCCCCCTGCCTCCCGACAGTGGTGGGGGCCAGGGCCCTCTGCTCTTCTGAGACCGTGTCAGGGCCCAGTCCTCCTTCTGACGGAGAGGAGCCCAATGTTCTGGGGAGGTGAAAGGCAGGGGACACCTCCAAGCTCAGGCACCACTCAGGGGAACCAGCCCAGGCTCTCTTCCCCAGAGGCCAGTGATGGGGGAGGGGCTGAGCCCTTATAGGGTGGGGGTGGGGATCCGTGAGGGTGGGGTCCACACCACCCACCAGAGGGAATGTGAGGGAGACAGTCAGCGGGAGCCAGGTCCCAGGGACTCTGGGAGGGAGGAGCCCGAAGCAGGAGACTTCAAAGCACTCCCAGAATGGCTTATAAACAAGCCCGTCTGGCAGGGCGGCCAGCGGGGGCCTTCGTGGAGGGGCTGGAAGCTCGCTCAGGGCTGTGTAAAGAGCACAGGACAGGGGTCTGGGAGGGGAGACCGTTGCGCTGAGGGCCAGGGCACCCCAGCCTAACCTCTCCGTGACTCCGTTTCCCTCTGGCACCAGGGAGCTCACAGCCCCGTCCTGCGAGCTGGCCCCGGCCGGCCAGAGGGTCAGTGGTGAGGATGTGGGTGAAAACACTGTGTGGCTCCGAGCCCTTGTCAGATGTTATTTATTATTCTGAGCTGTGTTTTGGTGGGAGACTTGGAAAGACGAGAGGGAGAGCCGGGTGTTCTAGGGCCCCTTCTTCCCCGCGCTGTTTGGAGAGTTCTTGGAACAGAGTGGCCAGGCCTGGGGCCCGGGAGGGAGAGGCTGAGCTGGGCAGCGGGCTTTCTCCATCAGCTCCGCGGGGCCTGCCACCGCCCTCCCCTTCTCGGCCGGCCCCTCCCCCACCCTGGGCGGGGCCCCTCCCTCTAATAGTCTCAAGTGGCTCCCCAGAATCTGCCTCCTCTCCCTAGATACTTGTCCCATGTAATGGGACTGTGACAGTTTCTCTAAGTCCTGCTTAGAAACGTGTCACCCTCCATTTCCCTTTGTGATATCAAAGGAGGCTGCACAAGCAGGCTGGGCCAGCACCGGGCTGAGGCCTGGCTCGGAGCAGCTGCAACGCGGGTTTATGAAATTACAGGGAATTCAAAGCAGCCGGTGTTGCACACTGTCTGGCTTCATTACTGGGACCAGCCTCGGAGGGAGGTTTATTCCAATAATTTAGGGGATTAGCATCTGACACCCTTCATTAGCTCTTTGACATAAGCAGAAGAGACAGGTCCCCGCAAAAAGACCCGCTGGCGGGTAGGAATCGGCTCAGGCGGGGAGCAGGCAACACACCACCCCAAGGAAGAGAGGCGTCTGCAGCGTGGGCAAGCCGGTGCCACCTCGCTCCAGTCCAATTAGAGGGTGAGCTCGATCCCTGAAGGTCCCAGTGGACCCAGGAAAGAGGGGCCTGGGCTCAGGACTCAGTTTCCCCACCTGTCAAACGAGAGCACTGCTGGGAACCCCCGAGGTCCCTTCTGACTGGTATGTGCTGTGCCCGTCACGTCTTCTCTCCCTGGTCCCCAACAGCTCAGTGACTGCTCCCCAAATCCTCTGTGGTGTGGCCTTGGAAAGGTACACATGTCTCTTCTGGGGATCTGTGCCCCCCTCCACCTCTCATCTCCTGGGGATGGAACGACCCACCCACAAACCCTCACATCTCCACTTTTCAGTGGCATTTGTGATCTGAGCCATTTCCTGCCATACGGGAGAGCAGCTCCCCCCCATCCCCGCCCAACTTCTGGCAGCTTCTACTCCTGGCGCCTCCATATATCTGTCTCTGGTGTTTCAAAAACTTCTTGTCTGACTTGTAAAAACCAAAAGGGGAGGGCTGACAGCTGGGTGGGGGAAGGGTTGTTTCCAAAGGTCCCTGCCACACTCCATAAGCTGGCGTCCCTCCTTCCTCTTCTTAATAGCTGGGTCCCAGAGCTGAGCAACATGGGCAGGTGGCTTGGCCTCTCTGTTCGTTCTTTTCTCAGCGCTAGGGGAGAGGTACAGGTTGCTGTGAAGATGCATGTGGCATCACAGGCGCTGACACAGATGATGAGCCCAGTAAGCCACATGTCGCTGCTGTCACTGTTCATGGCCTTGGACCAGTTGCCTTTTCTCTCCGAGCCTGAACCTTCCTGTGGTAGAGTGGACGGAAAGGAGACCATGGCGGTGCAGGGCTCTCTGAGGAGCAGCCACCATGGCCATTAGCTGTCCAGCGCCGTCCTGGACACTGTTACCATGTAGGTTTTCTTGGAGCCGACTGTGTCCATTGAGGAGCGAGGAATGTGATTCGTCCCGGCAGCGGGGGAGCTGGAGCATATCTGGTATGTGTCTCTGGAATGATTTGGGGAAAATTCACCACAGTTGGAACTTGAGATGCACACGGCCAGGGACAGAGCGACAGGGAGCTGTCCATGTGGCACCCCCCCCAAAGATGCTGGAGCCTGGTGCTGGTGGGGGGAGTTGCTTGCACAGCTCAGCGCTGCTCAGGCCCGCCCTGGAATGGCCGTGAACTTGTTGTTTTTCCACATCATTTGCTCTCAAATGTACTATCGGGCCGACGATGCTAACCCTGCGGCTGCAGGTCCCTCCCTGTAACAAGCGATTGTGTGTTCTTCGGAGGTGGCCAAAGGGGAGGAGGGGGCCCGTGCCGGGGAGGAGGGGAAAGGGGAACAAATCCCTCCTTTACAGTGAGCTTGCGTGTCCTGGAGCCAGCTCCCCCCAAAGCACATGCCATTTCTGGCCCTGGAAGGGGTTAAAGGCCTCCTGGAGTCAAAAACAAGCAGGTGTCCCACCGTGCCAGATACGCCGCCTAAACTGCTTCCAGCTTTTTTTTTCCCCCTTCTGCAACAAGTCTGTGATCGGCCACGGGACAGAGGAGCCAGCAGCCTGCCTGTGACAGGCATCAGGTTAGCCCGCTCCCACTCGGGTGGCGTGCCCAGGATATAAATCCAGGCCGGGCCCCTGCTGCGGCCCCTCTCCCCGCGCACAGGAGAGGGAGTTCCTCGCAGAGACCTTTCTTTTATCTGAAGCCGCACGGCCCAGCGGGCTCCACTGACTTGGTGGAGGCTGCCGAGGCAGCTTTAGCAGTCTTAGCAGCAGCGAGGAAGCCTGCCGGGGTAGGGGGAGAGGGCAGGTGTCCGCAGCCCCCAAGAAGGAGAAGGCCCAGCTGGGGCCCCAGCCCCTCGTTGCAGGGGAGGCCACTGCCTTCGCAGACCGCACCATGTGGGGCCTGGGATGTCACCGGTTCTGGTCCCGCTGGGGACGGGTGGTTGCACTGCTGCTGCTGCTCCGGGTGCCCCTGAGAGGCCTGGCACTGCCACCCATCCGCTATTCCCATGCTGGCATCTGCCCCAATGACATGAACCCCAACCTCTGGGTGGATGCCCAGAGCACCTGCAAGCGGGAGTGTGAGACGGACCAGGTGAGTGGGAATCTGGAAGCCCCAGGCGCACCCGTGAGTGTTAGTGAGGGAGACGGGAGCGGTGGTGTGGGGGCAACTCGGGAGTGCTCCCTGCGGGGTCCAGGAACATGGAGGAACTTGGGCCATGTGGAGATAAAAAGGGTGTGAGGCCTGGAAGAAGAGGCAGGTGTGATGTTCAAGTTCATGGGGGACCAGGTATCCACGATTCCTGTCCTTGTGCTTACTGAGGGATGCTCTGTGCCTGTACCCGGCCAGGCACAGCTGTAGCCTGGCATGACCTCTCACAACTTGTTTACAGGTAAGGGCGACACTCAGGGATGTGCAGTGAACAGCTCCATGGCCAAGGATGGGAGGGTGGAAACGCACATAGATCTGACATCAAAGCTGAGACTCATCTGGCCTCCAGGCCACCTCCCCAAGGGTGTGGACCCCGACCCTGGGAGCAAACCAGGCTGACAGGGACAGTGGGTAGGAACAGCTCTGCACCAACTCTGTAGGTGTCCCTGAGAGGAAAGTGGACTAAGTTTCAACCTGCCAATTCCTGGATCCTCCCTTCTGCCCACATGAGAACAGCCTGCAGCAAGCATCACAGGCCTGGCTCTTGTATCCTTCTCTCCCAGGTTCTGAGTCCCAGGGCCATCCTCGCCACTCCCCCAGGGGTGAAGGCTTCTCTGGTGCCTGGCATCTACCCGGGCAGAGGCACTTCCTGCCAGATCCTGGGGCTCGGGGCTCAGCTGGGCTGGGAGTCTCCAGGGAACATGACTGACCCTAGGGCTCCCTCTGCCAAATAAATGCATGTCACCGACAGGAGGGCCCTAGAGAGGGTGGTCTCTGCTCAGTGCCACACTCAGGCCAGACGCTGCCAGTGAGCGATGGTGATGCTGCGGGAAAGGGAGATCTGGAGTGGGGTGGGGAGGGGTGGCAGAGCATCCCATCCAGGTACGGCCATGCAGCTAGGTGGGTACACTTGCAGACAAGCCTGTTTCTCGGGCGCAGGTGGCCTGATAGATCCCATGGGGGCTGGGACAGTGACACTCTGGCTGATTTTGTGTCAGAAGCATCTGCGTGGACTGAGGATTCAGAAAGCCTAGGGATACATTCTGCGTTTTTAACCAGAACTTCCCTTTAGGTTTCCTGTACCCAGAAATATCTTCTCCCTGGTCTCTGGGGACTCAGCCCTTCATGGTCCTCCAAGTGCTGAAGAAGCTCACTGGGCCAGAGTCTCTTAAGGAATTAAATGACTCTCAGGTAGGGGGCAGGTCCTCCTGCCCTCAGCCCCCCTGGGGCACTCTTGCTCAGACCCCCACACTAAGGTCTGCCCATCTCTGTTCCAGAGCCTCCTCTGGTGTGGCCTAGAAGCCTATGCCAAGCAAGGGCTGCAAAACAAAGTCCCCATTCTGAGCTGAGAGGGGAAAACAGTAAACAAGTCAGGCAGGCAGGCCCCACACCACCCGGGTGGGGATATTCCCCCTCTTAGCTGATGTGGAATGTCAGAGAGGCTGAAATAAAAGTCAGAACCACAAGAGGCCAGCCCTAGTGGGGAGCAGTTCACACAGCTACTACCAGAGTGGGGGATTAGGAGGGCTGCCCGCCTGCCCAATGTGTTATTGTTGAAAACACCACGTGAAACCCTTGTTTATGTCGGCCCAGAGCGTGTTGCTAATTTCGAGGAATTAAACTAATGCCTTCCATGGCTCCACAGAGAATCAGAGGGAATTACGGCCTGGAAAGCCAATGCTGCTGGCCTAGCTGACGCTTGCCGCACCAGGGGACTTTTTCCTTCTTGCTTTCCCCATGAAGGTCCTGCGAGCGGACACTGAGCACCTGTCCTGTCCTGCCTGCACACCCCTCGGCTTTGGATGAATGTGGGTTCTCCTCAGCACGCTGCTCCCTCCCTTGAATGCCTGTCCTGCTGGTGCCAGAATAGCCCTTCTTAGCATTTGGGGTGACCTCTTTCATTTGGCCAGGGCACCCTCCCACCAATTGGAAAAAGGCAAAAGGGCAAGCTTGCTTCTCCCAACCTAGAACTCATTCATGGTAACCGCGTGACAAGGGAGGGACAGCTCATCTCAGAATCCCACCGGCCTGGAGCCTGCAGCCCTTCCCTGCCCCTCCCACCTCTGTGCGCCAGGCGTCTCTCCGGGTCTTTGCAGTCTCATCTGTAAAATGGTGGTGGGTATGTGGCTGCCTCCAGGCAAGTTTCCTAATCTCTGCGCTGTGGTTATCACCTGTGAAGTGAGGATAGGGGTTGTACCCCAGCTCGCAGGCTGTGATGGACATTAAAAAAGCTGACAGATGTAAATGTCCTCAGGAGAGGGCTTGGCAAATGGTAGGTGTAATGTATACTTAGCTATTATTTTCAAAATGTTTTACTTATGGTAGGTGGTGAGCACATATAGGCTCCCTTCCTGAGGAGGGATGGCTGGGAAGCCCCTGCTATCTTCCTGCTGCCTGCTCAGGCCTCTTGGTTTGGCTCTCCCCAGGAGTGTGAGACCTATGAGAAGTGCTGCCCCAATGTGTGCGGGACCAGGAGCTGTGTGGCAGCCCGATACATGGACGTGAGAGGGAAGAAAGGCCCGGTGGGCATGCCCAAGGAGGCCACGTGCGACCACTTCATGTGTCTGCAGCAGGGATCCGAGTGTGACATCTGGGATGGCCAGCCCGTGTGTAAGTGCAAAGATCGCTGTGAGAAGGAGCCCAGTTTCACCTGCGCCTCGGACGGCCTCACCTACTATAACCGCTGCTACATGGACGCTGAGGCCTGTTCCAAGGGCATCACACTGGCCGTTGTCACTTGCCGCTACCACTTCACCTGGCCCAACACTAGTCCCCCACCACCTGAGACCACCGTGCGTCCTACCACGGCCTCCCCAGAAACCCCTGTACTGGACCTGGCGGCCCCAGCCCTGCTCAACCACCCTGTGCACCAGTCGGTCACCATGGGCGAGACAGTGAGCTTCCTCTGTGACGTGGTGGGCCGGCCCCGGCCTGAGATCACCTGGGAGAAGCAGCTGGAGGATCGGGAGAACGTGGTCATGCGGCCCAACCACGTGCGCGGCAACGTGGTGGTCACCAACATTGCCCAGCTGGTCATCTATAATGCCCAGCCCCAGGATGCTGGAATCTATACGTGCACGGCCTGGAATGCTGCCGGGGTCCTGCGGGCTGACTTCCCACTGTCAGTGGTCAGGGGTGGCCACGTGGCTGCCACGGCAGAGAGCAGCCCCAATGGTACGGCTTTCCCCCCGGCCGAGTGTCTGAAGCCCCCTGACAGCGAGGACTGTGGCGAGGAGCAGACCCGCTGGCACTTCGATGCCCAGGCCAACAACTGCCTCACCTTTACCTTTGGCCACTGCCACCGCAACCGCAACCACTTTGAGACCTACGAGGCCTGCATGCTGGCCTGCATGAGCGGGCCGCTGGCCGTGTGCAGCCTGCCGGCCCTGCAGGGCCCCTGCAAGGCCTATGCCCCTCGCTGGGCCTACAACAGCCAGACAGGCCAGTGCCAGTCCTTTGTCTACGGGGGCTGCGAGGGCAATGGCAACAACTTTGAGAGCCGCGAGGCCTGTGAGGAGTCCTGCCCTTTCCCCCGCGGGAACCAGCGCTGCCGGGCCTGCAAGCCAAGGCAGAAGCTTGTGACCAGCTTCTGTAGGAGTGACTTTGTCATCTTGGGCCGGGTCTCTGAGGTGACCGAGGAGCCGGACTCAGGACGTGCCCTGGTGACCGTGGACGAGGTCCTAAAGGATGAGAAGATGGGCCTCAAGTTCCTGGGCCGGGAGCCGCTGGAGGTCACTCTTCTCCACGTGGACTGGACATGCCCCTGCCCCAATGTGACGGTGGGTGAGACGCCGCTCATCATCATGGGCGAGGTGGACGGCGGCATGGCCATGCTGCGGCCTGACAGCTTCGTGGGAGCCTCAAGCACCCGGCGGGTTAGGAAGCTGCGGGAAGTCATGCACAAGAAGACCTGTGACGTCCTCAAGGAGTTTCTGGGCGTACACTGAGACCTCTGTCCCGCTCCGCTCCCCACCCCTCTTCCACCTACCCACCCCTAATGTCCTCAGTCCGCAAACTGGGCAAGGTCAGGTTAGACAGTCTTAGGCCAGCAGGGTGACGTCAACCGATGCATCAGAAAACATCAACAGAAGGTCCCAGATCCGCTTCTAGTCTTTGGGTTCAATAAGAAACAATAAGACACCCGCAAGTTATCCCTGTGGTCAGGTCTGTGTGGGCATCATTATCCTTTTTGCTGGCCACACCCCTCCCTTGGCTCTCCAGTCCACCCTACCCCCGCCAGGGTGGTAAACACAGTGACTGCCTGGTAGTCACAGGAATCAGACATGGAGTGAATTGGTTTGCTGACGGGGTGGGTGGAGAGGAAGGGAGGACCCCTAGATCACCAAGAGCTGACATCATCTCATGTTAGGGGTGTAGGAAGTGGGAGCAGGATGCATGGTCCAGCCCAGTACACAACTGGCCCTGAGTGGAGGCTGCTGGGAAGGCACCTTTGGGTGGAGGTCAGCTGGTGCTTTGGTCATGTCGGTCCAGCAGTTTGGCACCAGCACAAAGCGTGTTTCTTCTCCTTGGCTTTATGGATTGGTTTACTGATTCCATTACCATAGCACAGAGAGATGTTAGCCACTGCCCAGCTTACAGTAACGGAAGGCACTATGTCCAGAAGCAGAACACGGCTGGCCCTCCCAGAGCTGTCAGGTCGTCCCATTTTATCTGCCACTGGCTTCCTTGGAGATCAAGCAGATAGAAGCCCCAGGATCTGATTTAGGAAGGGAAATAAAGGGAGCCAAAAAACAGGCAGTGAAGGGGGTTGGTGAAGGACAAGAAAGGCGGGAGAAGGGGAGGCTGCTTGGGAAGGAAAAGAATGTTGCTCGATGCTCCCATCTGGTGGTGGCCTTGGGAGCCGCAGGGACCTGGAGGGAAGGTCCAGGTGAGGCCTGGGAGGGCGGGTTTGGGAACATGGCAGGTTGTTGTTGACTTTTTGTTCCTGGACTTTTTGTGCCGGTCAAGCCACCCTACTGCTAGATAAAGGATTTGGGAACCCACCATCAGCTCTACATTTGTCCCCCTGGGTCCCTCAGTCCTTCATTCTGTCCATGCCCCTCCAAAGGTGAAGGTCATAGGGGTGTCCTTGTTTCTTCTTCCTTAAATGCAGGGAAGAAGATACCAATTAAAAGCTCATAGTATCAACAGGCCTTCTTGTGTGATGTCTTTGGGCTAATGGGGGTGGTGGTGGGCAGTGTAATTTGGTGAACTTGCAGAGAAGTCTGGCCAACCAAGCCTGCTGCTATTCCACCCACTTTGCAGCTCCAAAGCCCTTTAACTGGTCTTCACCACAGCTCTGTGAACTAGGCCCAGGACGAGGCCAGACCAGCAAGGTGACTTACCTAAGAGCACAGAGGCGGGAAGGCAGAACGTAGGTGTTCAGCCCTGTATCTCAGTGCCCCACCCCATCGTGACAGCATGGGGGCCAGGAGCAGAGTCCACCACTGAGGATGTCCAGTTTAGAGGAACAAAGGCAGAGGGGAGAGCAGAGGAGCAAGGCAGGGGTATGCCGACCAACTGTGACTCCCGAGGAGCCACTGGGTGCGGTCTGGCCCCAGAGCCCTGGATATGCTCTGGATGGGACAGCAGCACCCGGGTCTCAAGTGCTCTGGCTGTGCCCCTCCCCTGGAGATGTGTCCAGAAGTCCTGCAGCTGCGGCATACGGCCTGTCCCCAGGCTGGGAGTCAGCTAATCTCAGAGACACCTCTCCCCTGTGTACTCCCCTGTGCACGCCTCTGCCTGGGCCACAGCCCAAGGAGGCCAGGTCCAGCCTGGCCAAGCCCTCCTTAGAGATAATCCTCTGTAATCAGGAGGAACCCGGATCAGGAAGACAAGCAGAGAAGAGAGCCAGAGGAGAGGAAGCTTCTCAAGTCGCCGGGAGACTACCAAGCACAAAACTGAACCATCAGGAAGGTGTGACTCCCCACTCAGTCACGGAAACAGGGTCTGAAGACTATGGTCCCCACCTGCTTTGAGAGGCCTGGGGTCATTCTACTGTATCTTTTCCTTGGCTGAGTCTTGTAGCCTGAGAGGACCAAGCAGGGGGCACCTGCCATCCTCCTACCCCACAAGGTCACTGTTCTGCTTCCCTGGGGGAGCTCACGTGCCCAGGTTCAGGGCAGCCCCATCGCAGGACTCACTGCTCACCACTGCCCCCGACCAGGGTCCTTGTCACACTCCAGCCCAGCATTGCAGAGAAAGCCCAGCCCAGGAAGCAGACCCGCCTAGGTCTGCACATCGTGGGCTCTGCCACTTTTCTCTTTGAGCCTTGGTTTCCTCCTCTGTAAAACAGGTAATGAGAGCACTTTACGGAGATCTGAGGGACTCAACCCTACTAACCTTGGAAGTCTAGGAAGCAGCCCGGCCCCTCCCTGCCCACAGCAGCTCCCTGGCTAAGTCCCAAGGACCTAAATTCCTCCTCATCCTACCAGGGCTGTTTTCACAAGGTCAATGACCATGTGACTTTAAATGTGCAGTCAGAATATGTCCAAACTGACCACCCCACATGGGTTGCTTTGAGGTTCAGAAAATAGGGGCATTTAGGGAATGGATGATCTGGAATTGATTATAATTTCAGACCTCCTACATGCTATTTAAGGCTGGGTCTTTGACCTCTGTTACCCGGGGCGTATGTAATGCCTGACACCAAGTAGGTGCTCAGTAAAGACTGGACTGGGTTCCCAGGGTCTGGGTACCAGGAGGCCTGGGAGTCACCCCACCCCGTCTGGGAGATTTGGTACGGCCTGGGGCACAGCACACAGTAAGACTGAACACTCCTTCCAATCCCTGCCGGATCACTGCTGTCTCTCTACACTGTGCCCACTCTTCCTCTTCCTGCAGTCCCTAGCACCCCCATCCTTCCTCCCCCTCTAGTTCATTTCTCTGTCTGCCTCTTCTGAGGGCTGGCCTGGTGCTGGCTGTCTCTGCACCAGCCTCGAGGCCTGTGGAGCAGGGCAGCTTGTTTTTTTCCACACTCTGCCTCCCCCAGCACCTCCAGCCACCGAGGACACTCTGCTCCATTGTCTGGCCAGCTGCTCCATAGTCTGATGTCACCCCCTGGACAGTGGGGCCAGAAAGCAGGGACCCAGGGCTGAACTTGGCAAGAGAAGGAGGAGCACACACAGCCACACGCCATTTTCTCAGGCTGGGGAGAAAGCCCCGTGTCCAGCTATGCTGTGACCGCACTGGCAGAGGGAGCGCTTACTATGTGATAGGTACTGACCTCACCTCCTGTTGTGTCCATCACACTGTATGAGACAAGTGTACTATTTTGTAGGTGACAAAACAGGCTAGAGGAGATAAGAAACTTGCCCAAGATCACCCAGTTGGCAAGTAGCAGAGCCAAAATTTGAACCCAGGCTGTCTGATTTTCAGAGCTTTTAATGCTCCTATTTCTCCCAGAGTCATACATACACACACACACACACACACACACACACACAACCTCTGGCCTGGACAGTGTGGAATCCCATCAGGATCCCAAATACCTCCAAAGAGCCTGCCTCCCTTCACACACACCTCCCAGGGCTGTCTTACGGACCTCTCCACGTGACATGGTTCTGACACACACGTAAGCAGTCATGCCCTAGATTCCTGAACAAGACGTTAGCGCTATACCTACTCATCCTTCAAGACTCAGCTCCTTGGGGAAGCTGCCACTGTCCCCCAATCTGCAAAAATACTGCAAGCCCCTGGCTCCCTCCACACATGCACCTACCCCAGGCCAGAACTACGCTGAGGGACTCTGGGGTCTGTGGGATCTGCTCTGAGAGCTCGTGTGGGGTTTGTTGGGTGAGCAAGGGCTTTGCACTCAACTCTGACGAGACCATGAAAGAGCTGCTCTGGGGTCCGCTCTCCTTGTTCACAGCCCTGCTTCCTGATTCTGTCTCCTCCTCTCACCTCCCAAGGAGTTTGAAGTCTCCCTCCTGCTCTGGGAATGTGTGATTAATATAGGCAGGATGGGTGGCAGGGCTCCTGGGTCCTATTCTTGGCTGTGGCCTCATTCTGGAATGTGCCCTGAGGTCAAATGACACTCCTCTCTCAGACCTGTCAGGAGGAAGAAAGATCGCCCTCCAGCTGGCTCTCCTGAGGGAGTGGGTAGACAGGCAGGTAGACAAGCCCGCCATCCCTCTTCTTCCCGCCTCGCTGACTCCTGAGCCCCTCAGCACTTCTATTTCAGGGTCAGGAGGGCGTCTCTGTGTCCACGTCCCAAAGTATCCTGGGAGATGCAACTCTGGCTTTTGGGTCTCCAGCAACACCCTGACTGCCCTTACCCTCCTCAGATGAGGAGGAAGCGTATTTGTCAGGGGTGTTTGCTGCCCCTTTCGCGTATTGAAGGTACAGATAGAAACCTGGCAGATGACCATGTGCCCATCCCGATCATTTGTTTTCTGCTTTGGGGTGAAGGATACAGCCAGTTTGGCCAGAGGTTGGTGACAACCTCTGTGAGGGCAGCTGGGAAGTGAAGAGGGAGTCCCGGTATTCCAAGGACTCTTGGCAGGAGAGAAGCAAGGAGCCAGAGGGAGGGGATCGGCATGTGAGTATAAAGGATCTGACTCAGGTGCCTTACGAATATCGTCCAGGGTGAGCCTCAAACCCTCTCTAAGCTAGATATTTTACTCTTCACCACCTGACAGACGCCACCCCAGGCCACAACATTCAGGAGGGACAATCGATGTGCGCTCTATTCACCTATATGTCCAGCACCAGACCTGGCCTAGAGCGTGTTCAGTCAAGGTCTGTGGCATGAATGAAGTGAAACCTATAGACCCTTTTCAGAATATAAGCGCGTATGTATTTTAACCATGTAGTTAGAGGCTGAGGACCCCAAACGGCAGTTCTGAATACACATAACCGCACATCTGACTGGTCCCTGATCTCTGGGAGTACCAGGGCTTTACAGGGAGGTTAATAAAGCCGTACTCTGCAATATAGTATTGAATTCATGTAAATTGAATTCAGGCAGAATAAAAATTTAAAAATCCGTTGCTCTGTCTCGCTGGCTACATTTCAGTTCCATGTTTCATGTGGCTAGTGGCTACTATATTGGACAATCCAGAATATTTCCATCATCACAGAAAATTCTATAGGGCAGCCCTGTTATAAAGGATTAACCTGTAATTCTTGTTTTCTCTGTCATAGGGCTTGTGTAGGGCGGGGAACTATCTGTAATGGCCTTTAATTCCAAGTTCTGCCCTGCCCAGGACTGCAGGGGTTCCAACGTTTCTCAGCAGCTATTAGTTTGGGTCTTCTTGGTCTTATTGTCACAAGCACTCTTGGAACAGTCCCACTGTCTCTGGACTCCTATCTCAGCCTGGAAATCCCGTCATCTTTTGTCCCAGAAGATTTGCAGGCCTTCATGCAGTGTGAACTTCTTGGTAGCCTTCCTCAACATCCCAGATTTCCTAAAGCTGCATGTAAATTAGTCCACACACAGCAACCCTCTAACTCATGCACACAGATGAGATGGGTTTACCCCACTTTTAGCTAAAGTGATGGAGAGGGGCTGTTGGTATGGAAGGAGACAGCAGGACAGGAGGCTAAGTCCTCTCATGCACAGCACAGTGCCCATGACAGCAGCTGTGTGTTCGTTGTAGGACCATGGTCTTCCTGTGGGCCAGTGACTCAACAGTTCTTCAGAGACATCTTTGTTGCAGCTGTCATCTTGGTTCTTGCATGGAAGTAATGATGGAAGTAAAGCTGGCGAATTATTTTGTTATGCTTATTGCTACTAGAATTGCATAAATCTTAAAAAAAAAAAAGAGGTACCAGGTATTTTATGTCTTAGGGTCCCCAAACCTCCCTGATGTCCAGGGTAGGTGGCAGTGAGGAAAGGTCAGAGTCATGGAAGAGCGTGGGCTCTTGGGTCAGACCGCCTGGATTCAAACAGTGACTGTCACTTTGCATAAGTTGACCTCTCTGTTTCAGTAGCTTTATCTGTAAAATAGAATTAACTACCCACTGTGCCTCTTCAGAAGTAGTGAGTCTGGTGGCTCCAGTTGGTTGGGAAGAAAAGCAGCTGCATGTTAGTACTCATGACTGGTACAATAACCAGTAGACAAGAACAGGTCTCTTGGACAGCAAGGAGAACAGATGCAACCTCCTTTGCTGGCAAAGGAAGAGTCCATGAGCGCTTGAGAGGAAA